TGGCTCAGATTTGCCCTATAGTCATCACATCGCTTTTAAACTGGTTTGCTTGTATCTCGTATACAAGCCATCCTAGTTTAGCGGGGCACTCGATCATCATCGCCACGCCTCAACATAAAAGGGTTCACATCATTGCATATGCCACGCCTCGACTTAGAAGTGTGAAAAGAATCATCATTGCAAATACCAAACAAAAGCCATCAAGATAGTTTCAAAATTTGGCCCCAAAGGGCTAAGTCCTTCGACCATCAAGATAGAGTAGAAGACTAGAGGAGGTGAGAGTAGAGTAGAGTAGAGTAAGAGGAGTAGAGTAAGAGCTGCAGAGGAGGATAGTAGAGGAGTAAGCGGAGAGAGGAGGAGGGAGTAGAGGAGTAGGCGGTGAGATCGAGAGGAGGGAGTAGAGGAGGAGGGAGTAGTAGTAGGCGTGAGTAGTAGTATACAACAGTAGTATAGCAAGAGTATAGGAGTAGTATAGGAGGACAGAGTAGCAGCATAAGTATAGGAATAGATTAAGTAGAGAAATAGGTAGCACCACCACCAAAATAATATCAAATTTGGCAAAATTGCAGCAGAGTGGCCAATTCATCTCAAAATTCTCACAACTTTAGCATGTGATCGGTTTAAAGGCAAGGTGCATCATAGGCGGTGCCATATGCTCGAAATTTTGTCACAAATTTCTTTGGCATCATAGGCAACAAAAAAAATTGAATTCAAATGCTACTGGTTCAAAGAAAAGCATCATAGATCAATGTAGTATAGCAGTTCAAAATTCACCAAGTGTAGTTTATCCTGTACAATTTTCAGTAGTCCATTCCAAAAGGAGTTTACTATACCCCTTGTTCACAAAGCAGTCATCTCAAAATTAAGTATAGGAATAGATTAAGTAGAGAAAGTAGTAGGCGTGAGTAATAGTATACTACTAGAAATTGCAAAGCAGAGTGACCAATTCATCTCAAATTTCTCACAAATAGGTTGTTGGAGACAATGTTTGTTGAGATTCGATCTTCGTTGGAGATAACCTGTATAAATAGGTCATAAATTCCACTAAATATGGAAACAACTCAACCTGTTGGAGATAAGCCTATAAAGGGATTGTTAAAAAGACAAACCTGTGTTTCATGGCTAAATATGGGCGATATTGAAAATTCCTATCCACGAATTACGTGACTACATATTCAAAGTTGCTTGGCATAATGAGCATATAATTTATAACTAAGCTCGAAAGCAGCTCTAAGAGCTCTATGAAATGTACCCTAATCGAAAACCGCCTTAAACACTAAGTTAACGTAAGAATTAGAAGACTCCTCATCATACCAAGGAAAGACAGGTTTTGCATTTTCACAATGAGATGAACAACATAGTGGAACCTAGAGAAAGCTAGGATAGCCCAAAATGTGAATCTCTAATTACATTTCAGATGGGGAAAATATAGCAGCTACTACAAGAATAAAATTTGAGCTTTGGAGATAGCATTGTAATTACAGAACCAAGGTACTACGTAGTTCTTACCTCGGCCTGGGCGCAGCAGGTTCCAAGTGAGGAGGTAGCGGCTAGAGCCTGTCATGCTCGAGAACGGGCCCAAGTGTGGACGGTGACCGGGGAGGAGGACGGGGACGGTGACCGGGAGGAGGACGGGGCCCAGCGTGTGGGCGGTGATCGCGGAGGAGCTCTCGGTGGCCGCGCTAGGTTTCCGGGGGACGGGCCCAGCCAGCGGAGGAGCTTTGGCAAGGCCTGGAGCAAGGGTTCCGGGAGAGGAGGACGGGGCACGGCACGGGGAGGGGAGGAGGGCGAAGGGCGGGGTCGCGTGGCTTGGCCGCTAGGGTTCGGGGGACGGGGCCCAACATGGAGGAGCTCATGCGCTGACTGGAGCAAGGGTTCCGGGAGAGGAGGAGGACGGGCCAACTGGAGGAGCTTCGGCCGCGCGCGATATTTCTCAATGGCCGGCGCTAGGGTTCCGGTGACGGGCGCCGGGAGGAGCACGGGCGGGCGCGGGCAAGGGAGAGGAGGACGGGCGCGGACCGGCACGGGGGGAGAACGGGGCGGGGGTCGGTCATGCGGAGGAGCTCAATCGGCGGTGGAGATGGTGGCGGCGGCGTGAGATTTTGGCAGCCCTTCGGGTTAAAACTGAACATGCTGAAAGACCGAGAATGTTGAGGGTGGGGACGGCTTATATAGGTTATGATTAACCACGGCGGCAGCAACGTAATACCGGGCCATGAGGAAATGTTTACCATGGCGTCTTGATTAAGTTGCCCATTGTGGGTCAAATTTTTGTTGACCAAATCAAACTGAAGCCGTGATAAAATGTGGCCTAAAAATGATATTTGATTTTTGACGGAGCCAAAATATGGCTTGTGCCAAAATCTAGCGTAGCAAAAAAATGTTTAGATGATAACCAAGCTAAATTCTTGATTTTTTCCTTCAAGTAAATATGGTTATGTGGAATCTTGTTTTGTAGATAAATTCTTAATAAATATTATAGTAAAAAAGAAATTACAAATTAGACACATGATTAAATAGATATTAGCATTTGAAGTTTGATTATCAACTCAAGACATGCAAAAACAAAATATAGCAATAAGAAAGAGCCTCCATACATACAGTAGTGCCAAGTGGACGATGGTCCACACATGCCCGAAAAAGACGATCCCCAAATGCCGAAAAGGCAAATCACTCTACTTTGCTAAATGGTATTTTTAGAGTGAGATTCTCTGGCGATTGTGTGAAGCGATTCTCTAAAATAAACTAAGAGGCTAAGAGCTAAAAAAAGTAGCTTCTTCTAATTACGTGAAATAAACTAAGAGGCTAAGGCTAAGAGTTTATGCTAAAGAATAAAAAAAAATCATTTGTAACCTTATTATCACTCCACCAAGAACAACGAGGAGCAAGATGACTTTCTGCTAAACGAACACCAAGAACCGAAGACCCGTGGAGAAGATGAAGTAGGCGGCGTGTTTATAGAGGCTTTACCGCGGCAAGGCGGTTTAAACAACCCGCCACGGTAAATACTATTAACCATGGCGGGCATTATGCCGCTTGCATGTAAAATATAAATTTCTGCGGCGGTCGATTAATGTGGCCCGCCGCGGTTAATCTTATTAACATGGCGGGCCATTCATCCGCCGCCACCGCGCAGTAAATATCAATTTCTGCGGCGGGCAAGTAAGGTGGCCGCCGCAGTAAACCTTTTTTCAGAAGCGCGCGCCTCGGTGGCGGCCTCGGTGGCCGGCCACCGGTTAACCGTGGCGGGCAAAAGTGGTGCCCGCCACGGAGCCCATTTTGGCCACGCTGCGCAAATTGATTCGTGTAGTAGTGCATGACAACGTAGATGTCACGAACCACAAGGATTCGGACGGATAACCGGAAAATTGAGACCGGGATTCAGCAGGAGTTCAGGAAGGGAAGAGCAAGAACAGCAATAGGACGGGATCAAAGTTTCATTCAGTTGGAATACAGAGGAATGTCTGGTTTGATGCCGATGGCCATCGGTTACAAGGCGTTTTATACGCCAGCAGAGTTCCGCCATTACAGCCGTTAGGCAACCTCCCTAACGAGAAAGGCTAGCCACTAACAGACTTGCTAACTGAAGCCGCCGTCGCAGATATTGCCAGATGCCCAACAGTAGACGCGCCTCTTAGCCGATGCTTGCTGATCCTGACAGTAGATGATGATTTGCAGTCAGTTTGGAACTTTGGCCTGCATCCGAGGCAAAATCGTTCTGAACCACAACTTTGGGCCCCTTTCCTTACCTTTTCCTCTCGGCCCAAACACTTTGGCCCGCTCATTCAGCGACCGCGGAATCCACAGGCCGCAGGCCGGAGGTGCACCGCGGCATCGCCTCAGCGGCGCACGCGTGGTATATATGGGCAACGGGCTGGATCGGCCCAATGGGGACCGGGCCGACAAGGCACGCCATGCCCTGCGGGTTGTGCCTATCAGGCATGCGGGCCTGGCCTTCGGCCCAGGCACGGCCTGCTGGGCTGATTTTCGGGCCGGGTTGGCCTGATAAGCACGGCATGCTGGGAGGTCGGGCCAGCCCGAGGCCCGCTTCAGCAGGGGAGGAGAGGAGTCGAGGGGGGAGCTCAAGGTCGTGGAGGCGATGACGGCGACATCTGGGAGCACGACCGCGTGAAGCTTGGAGAGGCGCGGGGTCGAGGGGGCCACCTGTTGCGTCAGCTTCATCAGATCCGCGCAGCGGACAACCAGCTCGAGGCCGCAGAGGAGGTCAACGCCGTGCTCGCCCCCAGATCCGGCGTGGTAGAGGCGTGGAGGAGGCTGGGTGCGCCGTGAGGGGCCGTGCTCATCTACCGGTGGTGCGGGGGCAGGGGATGAGGAGGAGTGAGGTGTGCCGCCGTTGTTGCTCCGAGGCAGGAAGGGAGCCGCCGTCACGCTCTGCTCGCATTGCGCCGGCAGGTTGGAGTGGAGGCGGGAGGTGGCGGCAAGAGGAGAGGAGCCTGCGGCGACGCACCCCGCCACCGAGTCGCGGAGAAGAGAGGGAGCGAGGAGAGCGGGGAGGAGGCGAGGCGAGCGATTGGGCGAGAGCAGAGTGCGGCGGCGCGCGGGAGAGAGGGTAGGTGGTGGGGTTAAGAGAGGAGGGCTGGCCTGCTGGCCAGTTTGCTCACCGGGCCTCACCAGGCCTTTGGCCATTTTACAGGCCAGGCCGTGCTAGCCCAGGCCCGCTAGCCACCGGGCCAGGGCCGAGCAAAAAAAACAGGCCTCTTGCCGGGCTGACGGGCTTGGGCTGCGTGCCCATATATTCGCCCGGCGATGGCCGGCCGAGCGAGCGCGATGACTATGGTCTACGAGACACGGCAGTAGTGGCAGCTGGCATGAGGGGAGATGATTAAAGGGTCCCCATGATTAAAAATGCCGTGGCCACGCTGATGGTGCGCCTCCACCACCTGCCCCTGCCCCTGCCCCGCGCCGCGCCCGCTCCCACCTACCGCTGCCGCCGCCACCTCGCGCCCCCTCTCCCGCGGCCGCGAGCATCGGCCGCCGCCATGTCGACGGCGGCGGAACAGGCGGTCGCCGACCAGAAGCGCGCGCTGCGCGCCGAGGTGCGCAGGGCGCTGAAGGCCCTCTCTCCTGACCAGCGCGCCAGCGAAGGTGATGCCTCGCGACCTGCTTCAAGTGTGTCTGCTTCGATTCCGGTTCTGTAACGCGGCTGTTGGGGGGTGTTGGTCACCACATGTTCGTCGATTTGCCAACTAGGGAGTGCGCTTTGCCCGTGCTACTTTGCTAGCTTTTTACGAAGACACAGACTGGACGCTTAGTAGTTAGGAGTAGAAGGGTTATGAAAAAATTGTGTAACTTCACGGTAGACTTTACATTTTATTTCAACTTCATGAGACTGTAACATTGGGGCATTTCTGAGAACCTGATGCGAAATGCTATTTGATTCCTTACTACAGATAAATGGTGTATTTACAATTAAGATAATGAAAGCGTCAGGGCAGACACTAGCAAAATTAAAGATTGGTGTGCTCTAACTTTGCTTGTACATTAGTGCAACTAAGTGGACTATACTTTAGAGACCTTAACTAGTATGGAGATGTCTATACTATACTATTGTTACTTTCTGGGACAAAGTTTTCATTGTGTTGTTTGATTTGAGTATTTGGAGGTAAAAAATTTCTTGTTTTTCTAGATCTGGCTATTCAAACTACAATCTTGGATTCCGCTTGGTTCAAAGCAAGCAAACGGTTGTGTGCTTATATAAGCTGTCAGCAGTTGCGAGAAGTCGATACATCAAAAATACTAGAAGGGTGTCTATCATCGAATCCTGGTGAGTCCATCTGTAGTTATGCTCGTTACTGATTCTGTCACTAACAATTAGGTTTTCCTTAAGGACAAGAGGAACTGGCAAAGGATCTTTATGTTCCTCGAGTGGAGGATAAGAACCGTAATATGCGGATGCTCAAAATCACCACCATGGATGATTTAGTTAAGAATTCAATGAACATTCTGGAACCATCGCCTGTGGATGCTACCGGGAATGATCGTGAAGATGGTATGAAATTTCATTTCCATGTTACTGCAAAGCTTTCTCCACATCTATATATATAAGTTACTGCGTCGATGGGGTGTTTAAGTTGACATGTATTCACTACCTGCCCTGTCTAATGTATATAAGTTACTGCATCCATGGGGTGGTTAACTTTACATGTATTCACTACTTCTGATCCTCTTTTTATCCTTGCAGTATTGTCATCATCTTCCCCTGTTGATCTTTTGTTATTGCCTGGTATGTCCTCTATCATTTACTTCATAAATGCTCCGTCACATAAACTCAATTGGATAATACTTGTTGTTCATGCAGGACAAGCTTTTGATAGAACTGGTCGAAGACTGGGGCGTGGTGGAGGGTAGGATTACATATTAAAATTACCTTTGCCTGTCCTGAAGTTGCTATTTTTCAGGGATACTTCAGAAAATATGAATACCCTATAAGAAATGTGATCACAAACTGCATGAATTCCAAATTTTGTTTCAATTCAGTAATATTGAAGTTTAAATACCTTGATCGTGGTACCAGAGGAGCCATTTGTGATTATAGCAATAGTTATCACCTAAGACAATAATCATATCTTTCAGATGCAAAAACTGCTGGAAAGGTTGATTCATACTCACACAAACTCTTGATGTGGCTAAGAAATCAAATACTTGTCGTGACATCTGTATTCTGGATCTTGCAATTGAAAGTTTATAACCTGGCCCTGTGGATTTATATCCAAGCTTAGATGTACGAACATGAATTCTGTATAATGACATCTTAGTATAAGTTTGAAAAGACAAGTGCATGCTGGTGCGGTAATAAGCCTGTCACCGTCCTGTTTCTTTCTTCAATCTGTAGATTGGTAAAGGTCCATGGTATATATTTGCTTTCTTCAATGAAGAAGTACCATCATGCAATTCGGTTTTGCAGCTTATTTATGTTGCCTTTACTGTAGCGATATCAACAAAATAAACTGCAGCTCTGTGAATTTTTTAATAGATCTCAAGTGCATAAAACGCCTAAGGAGTACATGAACCTCAAAGATATAGTGTTCTACTCTAATGGATGGTTAAGTTTATGCTAAAGTAGACAATTATGATTTTAATTTACTTAAAAGTTTTTTCTGCTGCTATATGATTGCTTCTTTTTTTCCAAAATTAAAAGGTACTATGACACATTCTTGATGAAATACCAAGAACTTGCAAAAGAGAAAGGGTGGAATCAGCCTCTCTTGGGTATGTCATGCATATCTTTTCTATGCAGATTTGTTAATATTTTCCTTAAACTTTTGTATTTATAATGAAGGATCTTTTTCTTCTGATACTATTTTCAGCTAGTTATTATATTTAGTTTGTGATATTTAGTTGAATTATGCTTTGCCCCCTCTGCTTTGCTGTTGGAACCATATTGGCCAGTCTACTTCAAAACAGAAGCAAGATGGACTGTTTTGAAGTGGAAGGCCAGAGTTGATGCAGGGATCTTTTGGAGTAGAATTAGGTCTTGATAATGCCTACTGGAAGCTATTTGTAGTTTAGATTCCATTGTTAACTTCAATCATAAAGCTTATATTGTTTAAGTATAAGATCCCAATAACATCTAGTGCAAGCTAGTTTAGATTTCATTGGTTATACTTTAATCATATCGCTGACCTATTGTTTTATAATGGGCTGGTTTCTTGCTCACATAATCGCATAGCTGACCCATTGTTTTACAAGGGCTTATGATGCATTAAATAGCATTTCATGGTCCAATTAATAGTATGGAGAGGCTGTTGTGTCTGTGAGCCAAATTCTGATTGTATTAGTATGGAGAGGCTGTTGGTGTTGGGTCTATGAGCAAAATTATGCTCATATTATAAGATCTTCTAATGTCAAACTACTATTATTTTGTAGAACTGAGTAGTCATGTGTTATCAGTCTCTGATTTATAGTTGACTACTATTCACGTACCTGAACCTTGATTGCTTCTGCTGAGTTTCAACTCTAGCCTACCCTAACTTGTTTGGGACTTACAGGCTTTGTTGTTGTTGTTGTTGTTGTTGTTGTTGTAATGTTCCGAACTTAGTAAATTGGTTTCAAAGATGAAAATTGCTAAGCTTCTGCTTACATCAACTCTCAACAGAGATCAAGTGACCAAAAGTTTCATTTTGATTTCTAAATCATGGGATGGTTGATGTAAACTTGGATGTGGCCCAAGCAAGCATACCAACAGTCACATCCTTTTAACTTTTAGGGTTTATGTCTACCTACACCTTTCACAACTGTCAAGTATGCTAGATCAGAATATGAGCTATGTTTGACAGAGCAAGCACTAATTGTTGTTCCAGATCAAAACAGTATAGCATGCATCAAAGAGTGACAGTAAGCCTTCCTGTGTGCTTATGAATCAAGTTTTTGTCGTATCAAATCAACAAGTCAACTGGAGGTTCATTGTCTGCTTGGATCATAAAAGCTTTAATTTTCATAACAGAGACATACATATTTCATTTACTACATGAACATGAAATACATTAATCAAAATGGAAATACATTTTAGTTCTGCTATTTTGTCTTCCACGGAATCCATGAGATGATAATTGATAATACAGCATGTCACATGCAACCTTTTTTATTACTAAATTAGCCATAATAATGTTTTGCTTTCCTATTTTGAAGTTGCTCTTTCATACTCGGTGCAAATTATGGACGAGGGCGTCATCCCAGTCAATTCAACTGATGTTCCTATTGATGCTCTGGTCTCATCCTCTGGTGTCATTCCAATAAGTGCTGCGGCGTTGCAGAGGATGCAATGAAGTTGATTGGTCTCTCTTGCCATGCTTTGACAACAAGCACCTTCTGATCCCTGGTTGCACTAGCAAATATACACCAGCAGATGAGGGAATTTGTCCCTTTTTTCCCTTGTGGTTTTCTCTTGTATCATCTGGGTGGATTGGATGTCTACTTATTTCAACTACTTTAGATTTATAGATTTATTTATAATGTAAATCATCATGATGAGCAAAAAAGTCAGTAGACCTGACATGCTATTCGCAGATTATAATGTGTATCTTCAGGACTAGCCAGTCGCCACAAAAGGGGGAAAACTAATAAAACTTTATCTGACTTTTTCTAGAGGCAAAGTAGACAATCATATTACTTGTAGAGTAATGGTTGCAATTTGCAAATGAATGAATCGTCAATGGTTGGATCCAAGGGGGGAGTTGGGCCGGGTTAACTCAAAGCCTCATGGGCTGGTCCAGTTCCCTTGTGGTTTTGAAAAGAACTGCATAAAAAAACGATATTTCTCGTTGCTAAAAAAAAACGATGTCTCTCGGGAGAAAAAAACGACACGCGGACTGCAATTTATATTCAACAAAACTGTCGCGTCCACTGAGACACTGACCATCATAAACCAGTCCGAAGACAAACCAAATATTTCAAAACCCTTATCAACATTTAGCGATAGGAAAATTTACCAATAGAATAACAATGGCATCGTTCATTCGTTCTACAAAATGTACGGAACTATCACTTTTTGTTCTCAACGGTCAGGGTTAACCAATCTTTGTAAATAAATCTCTTCTCCTGTCACATTTTGGCTACATTTCGTATTGGGCGATGGAACTCTACTACTCCTCCTAGACCACCTCTCCTTCCTCTACATCACTCCACGACCACCTTGGCATCGTGTTGAGCACGCACGTGGGACAGATGTAGGGGTCGTTGAACCACACAGTCCTCACCACCTTGTCCAGCTCCCGCCGAGCCTCCTCCCTCCTCCGCTGGAGCTCGTCCCGTCTGCGCCTGGCTTCGGCGTCTTCCGCCTGGTCCGCCTCCTTCTCCGTCGACCGCTTTCTCTCTTCGTCGACGGCGAGAGCTCGAGGCCTCGCGATGGACTCGGCCGCCGGATGATGATGATGATGCGCGGCGGGGGAGGGAGATGGATACGCCCGCGGCGCTCTCCGCTCTTTGGACGATCGCGAGCTGCTCCTCCTCCTCCTAGTGTCGTCCTCGCGCGCACGGTCCCGCTCCTCGCTCTCCTTGTTCTTATCGGCCGCGCGGTGGGCGTCGTCGTCGCGGCCACGGCGGTGAGCGTCGTCCGGCCTCCTGTAGTAGTCGGCGCGAGCGTCGCTTCCCCTCCTCCTCTTCCTGTCAGGGGACGCGTCGCGTCGTCGGCGCCTCATCACCGGCGGCGACGTCGTCCGTCGCGGCTTCTCGTCGTGGGCACGATGACAGTGCCCACGCCTGCTCGCGGCGGCCTTGGCCTTATCCGCGGCGTCCTCTGGTCTCGCGACGCAAGCGGAGCTGGGGTTGACGCGCACGCGACAGTTGTTGGAAAGAGGCGAGACGACGGGGCTGCTGCTGCACACGGCAGGGCGGTAGTGGGAGCTGTGTGAAGAAGCCACCGCGGTGGCCATGCCGCCCGTGCCTGCCTCCGGCCCTCCGCCTCGCTAGCTCTAGTAGGGTTCGTAACGTTTGGACTTTGGAGCGTGAACGAGCGAACGTGCCAGTACGCGTTTGGGATATAGTTGGCCACCCTCTGGTTAAAAAGGCCCCGGCGGTTGTCTCCTTTTGTTTCCAACTCGGAAAAGGATCCGTAGGCGCGACGATTGTGGATCCCGTCTGGTTTCGGATCTCTCCCGGCTGTGACCTGCTTAACAGCTTAAGTACATCGTTGTTTCTTCTATAATATAACGTGAAGGAGATATAGCCACAGGTGACAGAAGTAACTAGGACGGTCCGCGCGCTTCGCTGCGCGCGCAGGTTGGGTACCAGCCATTTACATAATGTTTGAGAAAAAAAAATATACCAATAGGTGAATCAAGAGTATAAATACATTACTTTGCCTTTTCCTTGTACAGAACATTCATGAAAGACTCTTGAAAATCGGCAACCAAAACATGCTTATGAGTCTCATTGGCATTCCAATTATATAGAGCATTGCAGCTACAACGTGTATGACAAATACTTGAGCCGTTGAAGACGGGAACATGTATACCATCACATCGAACCTCATGAGATTGATGGACAGCATAAGCTCCTCCTGGGTCCATAATATATTTAACTTTGAAAGTTGAAAGTGGCAGGCAGCTATAACATGTCCCGTTCTGCATTTCTGCTCACCTCCACAATGAGCTATCAGCCAACACCAAGAGATCACAAACATAGATTTTCTAAAAACGTGATCACACGTCCCATGTAGAAATGGCCATAAATAAAATAATAAAAAGGAACCACAACCAATAGCAGAATAATACAACAGTATGCATGCTGATTAAACTTGTACCTAGATACTGGATACCATAGTTGGACTTGTTTGAACTTCGTGAGGACAGGATAAATATAACCAGAGGCAGTGTATGTCTATTCTCTCACTTAGAGTTTTGCTTGGATATACTACTACAAAATCAGGACAGACAAATGCATGGGAAACTGCAGCTAACCTTTAGTGCAGTCAGAACCATCTTGCCTAAAACAAAATCACCAGGGCAATCTTTGGTTGCTTCATTCAATAGATCAAGGCAGCGAAGAGAGGTTCAGACTGCGAGAGATTGAAGCCAGTTTGGCTCCGGGTTCTGTGTTTCGTCCCTGTCGGCCTCCCACGGGCCGACAGGGCACCTATCGGCCCATGGGCGGCCGACAGCGGCAGCAGCCGGAGCCCGGCCAAATAGGTCCTCAATCAAGAAATAAGATATGGAAGGTGATAGAGCTGTAGCTAAGCAGCTACAAATTGCAATTTAGACCTGAGAAGCATCATGTGAGTATGCAAGACCCTTAAGCCTAGTCGGGAAATTGACATCACAGGACCCAACGATGTTCTGAATCTCGGTACTCCTGAAAACATAGTTGGCAATGATTTATCAAACAACTGAACCACACACAAGCCTTAAGATTGGAAATAGACGCCTTACAAATTTGGTAGGAAAAATCAAGCTTCCTGGGTGATGCAAACAGCAAAACAATTCAGACACCCTTAGCACTTCAGCAGAGTAAGGGATCAAGCATATTTGCATGGAGAAAAGACAGATAGTTCTCTGACAAAGTTCAAGATAAAATATTTACATGAAGCGAAATACTTCCGTAGCTGCAAGCTGAAATAGTTGTTCACATTTTCGCTCCAGCACAGACCTAGATGACACACTTTGTTGTGCCCATATATTCAACACTGAATAAAGAGAAACTAATATGTTACATCAACTGGTGATATCCTAACCATATGTACTGTAGAAAACCTAAAGACTCCTTTGCTGAAGTAAATTCGAATAATGGTTTGGATTGATCACGGATGAACTTTGAATAGCAGTATTCATTAGGAACATGCCATTGCTCCCTTCAGTGTCAAACTACAGCAAAGCATACACGATTTGATGTTGATTGCTACAGCAAACCATAGATGAAGATTAGTCAAGGGACAATGTGTTGCGGATAGCGCTCCTGAGGTTGTACTGGTGATGGACTGGAGGCCTGGGCTTGAACACGCGACGACGAACGGGCGGCGCCGTGCTCGGCGCCTAGGGTTGTGGCTAACAACAATAAGATGACGGTGAGCAGGAAGTAAAGGCCAGGTGCCCAAGGGAGACTTAAGTCTCAATCCCAGGCCGAATCGTATTAGAAGCAAACTGTTTAACTTATACAAGACTCAATAACCAACTTCCTAATCTTTAGGGAATAAATCAACTGACTAACTGACTCTAGATATGCTAACAACTTAACGACAATAGACTCATATGCCTAACTCCTTCTGCCAAAGGGTGGTGACCGCGGCCCAGCCGGCTCCTTGGCGTGGCCTTAGCCACTTGCCTTGTCGCCTGGCTTATCCCGCCGATGGTACACCTTGCCCACCATAACATCTCTCCTCTCCCCGACAAACAGCTCGTCCTCGAGCTGGAAGTCAGGAAAGCGAGTCTTGAAATCATCGACCGGTTCCCAGGTGCCTTCAGACTCATCCAGGCCGGTCCATTTGATGAGGACTAGCCAAGTGCCGTGACGCAGCTGTGCCTTGAGAGCGTGCTCAGGTTTCAGCAGCAGGCGACCGTGACGAAGTGGAGGCAGTGCCGGCAGGATCGTTGGTGGCGTTCCACGCCACGGCTTGAGGACGCCAACGTGGAAAACATCATGGATCCTGGCACCATCAGGCAGCTGAAGACGATAGGCCATGGCACCAATCCGCTCCAGGACTTGGTACGGCCCAGCGAAACGTGGGCTTAGCTTGGAACGCTTGCCCGGCACCAGGGACTGTGCAGGGCGGTGGAGCAGCGGAGTAGCACCCAATCGCCCACGGCAAACTTCACGGCGCGATGATGACCATCATAGTGACGCTTAGCATACTCCTGAGCCTGTAGGAGGCGTTCACGCACATCCTGCAAAAACGAGTCCCGATCCCGAAGAAGAGTGTCCACTGTCTCCGTCGAGGCCGAGCCTTCTGTGTATGGCAGTAGAGCAGGTGGAGGCCGGCCGAAAACCACTTCAAAAGGCGTCGTCTTGAGCGCCGAATGATAGGACGTATTGTAACAATACTCTGCCCAAGGAAGCCACTCCAACCACTCACGAGGCCGATCTCCTGTAATGCAGCGTAAATACATAGCTATGGTCTTGTTGACAATCTCCGATTGGCCGTCGGTTTGTGGATGAAATGCCGTGCTCATGCGAAGCTGCACCCCAGCGCGCTTGAAGAGGTCTTTCCACACATTGCCCGTGAAGACCGGGTCCCGATCACTCAAGATCGAGCGAGGGAACCCATGTAGCCGAACGATGGCCTTGAAGAACGCCTTGGCAACCGATGCTGCAGTGTAAGGGTGACTGAGCGCAATGAAGTGCGCATGCTTCGAGAAACGGTCCACCACTGTGAGAATCACGCTCTTTCCATTGACGCGAGGCAGCCCCTCCACGAAATCCATAGCAATGTCTGACCAAACCAAAGAGGGTACCTCTAATGGTTGCAGCAGTCCGGCGGGGTGGAGGGGCTCAGTTTTGTTGCGCTGGCACACAGCACAGGCACGCACAAAGTCCTCCACCAGCCGGCGATCATGGTCGACGAGGAAGTGTTGACGGAGGCGCTGCAGGGTCTTTTGTATGCCTTCGTGCCCAACCGAGTGGGAGAGCTCGATCACCGTAGGTACTAATGAGGACGTCGCGGGCACAAAGACTTGGGTGCCCCGGAGCACCAAGCCGTCCACCAGTCGCCACGGATCGCCACGGTCAGCGACCACCGTGTCGCGGAACGCCCGGAGGTTGGGGTCGTCCTGGAGCTCTTGCCGGAGCACGTCGTAGAGCTGAAACGACGGACCACTGAGCACGCCCAGAACTGCGTCGGGCGCGTCACGGGCGGCCACTTCGTCACCGCGACGTGATAGCGCGTCGGCGACAGTGTTGAGGCGCCCCGGCCTGTACTCCACGCTGAAATCAAAACCGAAAAGCTTGCTTACCCACTGATGTTGCGGCACCGTGGACAGCCGTTGATCGAGCAAAAACTTGAGGGCGAAGTGGTCGGTGCGGACGGTGAAGTGGCGCCCGCACAGATATGGGCGCCAGTGACGCACTGCTTGGACCAAGCCGACGAGTTCCCGCTCATAAGTTGCAAGCTTCATGTGCCGCGCGGCGAAGGGCCGGCTGAAAAACGCGAGCGCGCCATCTCCCTGATGTAGGACCGCGCCAAACCCGGAGCCCGAGGCATCGCAATCCACCAAGAACGGCTGATCAAATGCCGGTAACTGCAGAACGGGCACCGTCGATAGTGCCTGCTTGAGGGCGGCGAAGGCAGCAGTAGCCTCCTCAGTCCATGTGAACCCATCGTAGCGTAGGTGCCTTGGCGGCATTCCGGCGCTCAAAGGCCCGGGCCAACCGCATCGCACGGTGAAGATCTGCAGGCTCATGGAGTTCCACGTCCACCCGGATGTGTTCTGGCAGTCCACCGATGAAGAGCTGGGCCTGCTGGAGCGGATCTAATCGACCTGCATGTGCCAGGCGGGCCTGGAACGCCGACATGTAGGCGTCCACCGTGGACGTAAAAGGTAGTCGGGCGAGGTCGGCCAGATGGTTGGTCGACAAAGTCGGACCGAAGCGCTGGTGGCACAGAAGCCTGAAGTTGGCCCACGATGGTCGTCCCGTGCCGCGCTCGAGGATGTAATACCACTGCTGAGCGTCCCCGGTCATGTGGAACGAGGCCAACCAAACTTTGTCGACCTCCCTGGTGAGCTGGCCACGGAAAAAGGATTCGCACCGGTTGAGCCAGCCCAGGGGTTCCTCTTTGCCGTCATAGAGCGGGAATGAGAGCTTGTGGAACTTGGGAACGCCAAAGCCTTCATTGTGATCGTCCAAGTGGTGCAACGACTGGGATCGGTTGGCGCGTTCATGGTGCACCACCGTTGAAGACGTCGTGACTGTGGTCCCCATGATAGATGAAAATGTAGGCAGCGGG